GACTAACAATAACAAATGCTGTGGAACACTTAATAAGTGCATAGTTGGAACTATGTTGTAGCTATAGAGAGAATTAGTCACATAGAGGCTAAGCAGTTTGGTGCATGATGGAAGTGTCCAACTCTGGAGCCAGTAGGTCTCATAAATTACCATGATATTAGGTAATTTATGAGACCGTCAAGAGATTAAGACCAAGTGCTTCGGGTTGGGATATGATATCTAACCTCATCTCCTCATATTCATCACATCCTCGAGCAAAGTTTCTCTTCACACACCACTGGCTCTCGGTCCTCAATGTCAGTAGAGCAAACATTATTTGAGCTCAACTATTTCCTACCAAAATGCATCTCTTTCTTATTAAAAGTCTTAATAAAAGTCTACTTTAGAATAAATTTTTTAATTAAAGAAACACACACACACACATACACATAAAGTACATAATATTGTTGTTATTGAGTGCCTTTGAGTTAGTTCCGAGTAATAGCAACCCTGTATAGAGTTACAAGGAGTGATTGGTGGGCTTGAACTGCTTACTTTGTGGTTAGCAGTCCAGTGTTTATCCTACAGTACCACACAAAATTAGAATATTTGGCCTTTTAAGCCCTATAGAAGTTAAAGTGGGTACTGACTGAGGCAACCTGTTGGTGTATCTTAAAGGTTTTCTAGTTAGGTGGTAGAGTTTAACTTTCCTGATATACTGTGAACCCATGAAAGGCAAAGAATGTGCTTTGGTAATCTTTAATTATTTCCACTGCCTACCAAGGTACGAACAGAATTTAGCACAGTGTCTAAGACATTGTAGTTACTCAATGTTTTTATTTTCTTTTTAAGAATATAATTTTGAAATAAGAACCTGCCAAGAACTAACAACTACTAGTTTCTATGAAAATTATGTAATCTATAGATTTACTTTTGGTGACGCATTCCTCATATCAACATTGGGAAATTACCTGAAATTTTCCTGCATCATCATGCTGGGTCATTAGAGAGGACAATTAATAGTACTATTGCTTGGAATAGTATAGTGATGCTAAAGCAAATGGAAGAAATGAGGAGGTACAAGAGCTGAACAGAAAATTTCAAAGGTCAGCTCAAGAAGATAAAGTCAAATATTATAACAAAATGTGCAACGATCTGGAGTCAGAAAACTAAAAAGGAAGAACATGAGCAGCATTTCTCAGGCTGGGGAAACTGAAGAAAAAATTCAAGCCTTGACTTTCGTTATTGAAGGACTCTCTGGATAAATTATTGAATGATGCAGAAAGCATCAAAAGAAGATGGAAGGAATACACAGAGTCACTGTACCCAAAGGAAATGGTTGATGTTCAGCCATTTCAAGAGGTAGCATATGATCAAGCGCCAATGATACTCAAGGAGAAAGTCCAAGGTGCATTGAAGGAATTAGCAAAGAACAAGGCACCAGGAACTGATGGAATAAAAATAGAAATCTTTCAAGAAAGTGAGGCGGTACAGGAGGCACTCACTGATCTATATCAAGAAATTTGGAAGACAACTTCTGGGTGGCTAATTGGAAGAGATCTGTATTTGTGCCCCTTCCAAAGAGAGGTGACCCAATGGAATGTAGAAATCATTGGACAATCTCTTTGATATCTCAAGCGCATAAAGTTTTGCTAAAGGTAATACAGAAATGGCTACAATCATACATTGACAGAGAACTTCCAGAGGTTCAAGCTGGATTCAGAAGAGGCCGTGGAATGAGGGATATCATTGCTGATGTCTGATGGATCTTGGCTGAAAGCAGAGAATACCAGAAGAATGTTTACCTGTCTTTATTGACTATGCAAAGGCTTTTGAATATGTGGATCATGACAAGCTATGGACAACATTGAGAAGTCTGAGTATTCCTGAACACTTAATTGTGCTCATGAGGAATCTGTATATGGACCAAGAGGCAGTCGTTTGAACAGAACAGGGATACACTGAGTGGTTTAAAATTAAGAAAGGTGTGCGACAGGGTTATATTCTTTCACCATACTTATTCAACCTGTATACTGAGCAAATAATCCGAGAAGCTGGGTTATACGAAGAAAAACATGGCGTCAGGATTGGAGGAAGACTCATTAACAACCTGCAATATGCAGATGATACAACATTGCTTGCTGAAAGTGAACAGAACTTAAAATATTTACTGATGAAAATCAAAGAGCCCAGCCTTTGTTATGGATTGCATTTCAATGTAAAGAAAACAGAAATCCTCACCACTAGACCAATAAACAACATTCTTATCAACAGAGAAAAGATTGAAGTTGTCAAGAACTTCAATCTTCTTGGATCAACTATCAACATTAATGGAAGCAGCATTCAAGAATTCAAATGCCGTATTACATTAGGCAAATCTGCTGCACAAGACCTTTTTAAAGCATTGAAGAGCAAAGATGTCAGCTTGAGTACTAAGGTATGCCTGACCCAAGCCATGGTATTGTCAATCACCTCATATGCAAAGGAGGCCATAGAAGATTTGATGCTTTTGAGTTATGATGTTGGAGGAGAATATTGAAAGTACCATGGGCTGCCAAAAGAACCAACACATCTGTGTTGGAAGATGTGCAGTCAGAGTGCTCCTTGGAGGCCAAGATGACCAAACTTCATCTCTTATACTTCGGACATATTGTCAGGGAGACCAGTTTCTGGAGAAGGATATCATATTTGGTAAGGTGGAGGGTCAGAGAGAAACAGGAAGACCCTGAGTGAGATGGATTGACAAAGTAGCAGCATCAATGGGCTCAAGAGTGGCAACAATTGTGAGGTTGGCCCAGGATCGGGCAGTGTTTTGTTTTGTTGTGCATAAGGTCGCTATGAGTCAGTACTGATTCAAAGGCACCTAACAACAACAATTGCTTGGAATGAGTCCTGGTGTGGCACTGTAGGTTAATGCGCTAGACTACAAAGCCATTTGAACTGCAAGGCTGGTGGTTCAAACTCACCAGCTGCTCTTCAGAAACCCTATAGAGTGTTGCTGTGGGTCAGAACCAACTCAATAGCACTTAGCAACAACAACATTGCTTGGGATATTTTTAAGTTATAACTGAAAGTATTCAGTGTGCAAGAATTATATAAATACATGATTGATCAGTAAGGATTTTTTCAAGAAAGATGAAAAGATAGATAACAATGAAGACAATAGCCAGAAACATCACCATAGAAAGCTTGTAAGTCTGTCTTCTGCCTATAACTGATTGGAATACCTAAAATGGGGCTACAACGTGCCCAGTGAAG